ATTTATAAAAGACACTATAACCAAGTGGGGTTCCTAGCAGGTATTCAAGGATGGTTCAACATTAGAAAAACAATTATCGTTATCCATCACATAAATAAAACAAAGGAAAAGAACCACATGATCATATCAATTGATGCAGAAAAGGCATTTGATAAAATCCAACACCCTTTCCTGATTTAAAAAAAAAAAAAAAATCTCAGCAAAATAGGAATAGAAGGGACATTCCTCAACATAATAAAGGGCATCTATGCAAAACAAACAGCCAACATAATTCTCAGTGGAGGCAGACTGAAACTGTTCCCCTTGCGAACAGGAACCAGACAGGGATGCCCTCTATCACCATTTCTATTCAACATTGTATTGGAAGTCATAGCCAGAGCCATAAGGCAAGAAAGGGAAATCAAAGGCATCCAAATTGGTAAGGAAGAAGTAAAACTCTCCCTGTTAGGCGATGATAGGATCCTATACGTAGAAAACCCATGAGACTCAGCAAAATTCTACTGGGACTAATTGAGAGTGGCAGGTTACAAAATCAACATCCAAAAATAAGTTGGATTCCTCTGCACCAGCAAAGAGATTGCCCAAAAGGAAATAAGGAAATCAATACCATTTACAATAGCTACCCCCCAAAAAAATAATACTTGGAAATAAATCTCACTAGGGACACAAAAGACATATACAAAGAAAACTACAAATCACCACTCCAAGAAACCATAAGAGATCTACAGAAATGGAAGAACATATCACGTTCATGGATAGAAAGATTGAACATTGTGAAAATGTCAATACTACCCAAGCAATCTATACATTTGATGCAATCTCAGTCTAGATCCCATCAGCATTCTTTAAGGATATGGAAAAATAGTAGTCAAAACAGCCTGGTACAACGACAGACACATAGACCAGTGGAACAGAATTGAGAACTGAACCCAGAAATAGATCCATTGACCTGTGGTCAGCTGATTTTTGACAGAGGGCTGAAACCCATTAAACGGGCAAGAAGTTGTCTCTTTAATAAAGGGTGCTGGTAAGACTGGATATCCATTTGCAGAAAAATGAAACAAGATCCGTACCTCACACCATATACAAAAACTAAATCCAGATTGATCAAAGACTTAA